CGCGCTAACGCAGCTCAACGACGCCAAAATCGCGTCGGTTTTTATTTTTTTCTTCCTTCTTGGGCTTACCGGGGACTGAAGGCTTTTGCAGCACGTCGCTCGCTGTGATCAACTGACAGGGTGGTGGGGTGCCTCGCTGTCCCACGCTTTCCCGATTCTGCTCAGCGACTCCCAAAACGCAACGCTGCGATGCAAGTCTTGGGCAGCCACTGCAGCTGCCGCATCGCCAACCTCGAAAAGAGGAACGTCTGGCAGTCACTTTGGGTTGACTTGCCTGCGAAGATCACCACCACCTCCGCTGCCGTAAGTCTACCAGTACCAAAGGGGCAACTTCATCATCACCAGGCGTCACCATCTTCATCCTTACAGGACACCAACCAGTCCAGACATGTGGCCGAAGACGCCCAGGGCAGACGCCGGTTCCCTTACTCCAGGTACCAGCCGCTGCTCCCGCAGGCTAGTACAATGGCCCCCCACCCGTTTTCCGCTCGTCTTACTCGGCAACGCGTTGGTTCGCCAGGTCGCCGAACCTTGACAAGTTGACAATGGGCAAGCCGCAAGCCTATTCCTCTTTTGGCCGAGATCTCGAAGAGGAGAGACAACTCACTCTCAACGCTGTTGACTTATAACTGGTAGTCACTGGTCTACCGCTGCTGCAAAACAAAGGAGACGCGATGCACTGATGTGGCCCTCTGGCCAAAGCAACTGTCACCGGCAGGCACACATAGTTTTGCACGTCGAATCTGTGCGTGGTATCCATACACAGCTTACAATATGCGGAGCATGGATACACAATCATCACTTGCTCGACTTTCGCACTGTCTGCCACAACCCGCCGTTTCTCTCGAGAGCTGGACGACTGCGAGCCTGTAACTGGATTTGTGGGTGGGCCCGTCAGAACTCCGAAAGACAGGGCAAGGACGCTCCGCGGTCTGTAGAACTGGCATCCATGCACCCATGCTGTATCCGTACGGGTCAAGGAGACATCGGCCCATCAATCAACATGGAGGGAATTCGTCGTGCGGTGTACCGCATTTTCGGCGTTAACCCAACATGGCCTTGTTGCCTCCTGCGAGGTACGGAGCATGTACGGAGTACTGCTCGCGGATTGTGGTCGGATCCTGTCGTACAAATACTTACTTATCGCACTGTATCTGACTTGTCTTGACCTGCAGCGGAACACTTTTCTTCTTCCCCGCGAACTAGGTGTACCGCCGGATGCACACATTGGACGCTCTTCTATATCTGCTCTCTGTCGTTAGAACCACAACGACCGATTGACCCATGTCCTTGCGCTGGTCAGAGAGCGAAACGGGCTGAAGAATTAGCCAATGGATGTAGACTCGCAGCTTCAGCTCCTCCTTCGCATGAAGTTTACCTACAGAATGCTTGGGCTGCTGGCTTGATCAAGAAATTACTCTCGGCCGTACGAGACGAAGGGGAGCAGCGTCAGGTGTGGTTCCATCACAGCGCAGTTACAGCAGAGGACGAATTTACAGCTGGGAACGGCACAAGAACTTTCAACTACACAGTCACATAACGAACCAAGCCTTTGGGAACGTGAATGGCGCCTCTTGTGCCCAGTTGAAGCAATCGCCAAGGGGGTCCCTCGCCGTCGATCCTAAGCCAGCAGTAGCCCGGACAAGGCCGTGAGATCGAAGGGCCAGCCAGCGAGGCCGGGGGAGCGGGCAACGGCTTTCATTCCATATTCAGATGTAGCGTATTTACGCTACGGGAAGTTTTCCCTCGAAGATTTCCGCGACTTTGGTCTGAAGCTAGCCGGGTTTCATTTCTCATCGAAAAGTCATGGTCCCTTGACAATTGGTGGTTCGATTGGGTTCTCTAACCAGACGCTGGGAACACATCCACGTTCTGGGCGGCGACCCTTTCTCTAGATTGGATTGCTCGACAGCAACGGATGGGTCATCATTCGAGCCGACACCGCCGCAGGACCGCCGCAGGGGTGCAAGCGACGAAGGCACGCGAGCTGCTATTCCTGGAACTGGCCTCGCAACATGGGAATGAGAAGTGTGCGAACGTCTGCGATGCTCACGGAATTTGTGTGCTGGGAACACACAACTGTGTACAACGATGTCAAGTCCACTCACCAAGCTTCGTGGTCACTCGAAAGCGATATGAACTTGATTCAGGAGTTGCTTTCGGAAACCTCCGTTACTATGAACTTGGACATCGAGGCATTCCAATACCGAGCATGGATATTTAGTCTGACCGAGATACTACGATTTCCCTCACTGACAGCCCAGACGGCGCAATCTGAAGTCACATCGCGTTTTCCAAGCATCTATCCAAGAAGCGGCTGATCCCAGGCATCCCAGACCAAGTACCAGAGCGCAGACGTGCGGTTGGCCGCTTTCCACTGGGTGACACTGCTAAGTCAAACGAGGCGCGCAAACCTAGGCCCGCCACAAGCCTCGTTCGTGGGATTTTCTTAAGATGTGCATGTTATAGGACCCCCCTTGCCTAGAAACAATCGTCCTGGGGATCAGTTATGCAGTACGCGCACATCACAACGCCGTATCTTCTCACATCGTCATGTCAGAAAACGAGGCCACGGCCACCAGCTAGACTGAAAATGTCGCCGTCATTGCGCAGACTGTCAAGTGTGATCGGGCTTCAGCTCACCTTTTGCCCACTTCAGCCTACGCTGCCCAACTATCTTGGCTCACTGTCCCCGGACATGTTCGCCGTGGTATTGTGTATGGCGATCAGCTAGAAATCTTGGATGGCAGATTGGGCGCTCATCTCTTGCTCGATCCAGTTTGACACTGCCCGGGAGAGAAGTTCCCCGGAGAGGCGCGGCGCCTCTTTCTGTCGATCTCTGGAACTCGTCAGTGGCAATCACCAAGTCATCGTCGCCTTCACTCTTCAACCTGTCTTCTCACAGGGATACTCTGTAAGATGCCTACATTACTAAAGTTTGGGACCGAGGCAGTCATGACAAGTCAATGGAAGGTAGTTGGATATGATTCAGCTGGTCCGCACCCCCCGTTAAATCATGCACAGATTCGATGCGGGCGAATTGGACTCATTCGGGCCGCCAACCGTGCCAAGCCAGCAGACAGCAATGACCAGAAGTCACAAATCTCGCCTTGTCACGCTTGACAACTTGGACGTTCCAGGCTACACTCTCATCGAGAACTTCTTCCGTGATCTCGGTCTCACTGGGCCTAGATCGTGCACACAGCGAAGTGCGGAAAACGGGATGCATTGCGACACAGGGCCAGAACAAATACGCGGCAGCACATCTAGCCAGACTGTGGTGTGGGGGCGTCTCCGGACCATCGCTCATCCGTGGGCGTTGTAACCTCACCACTGAAGCCGCTTCGCGATTCTTTAAGGTGGACCCCCTACGGAGTACTACCTGGCCCCAAGACATCGTTGGCCGTCTTTGATGTCTAGCCAATGCTGCACCTGATTCCCGTTGGAGGGCGGAGGCTGGTATTCACGAGATGCGATTGGCGGCAGTGGCCGACAGAAGCAAGGCAACGCAGGTGCAGCACTTGGAGGCGGAATTTCATGTCCTCAACAAAGCCTTTTCAGCAGGGTCAATTCGATCATACGCCCTCAGTATCAAGCGATGCATGGCCCTGCGAAAGGCTGGGAGCCCAGAACAATCTGTCCAGATGTCAACCTTTAGTGTAAAAGGTAAGGTCAAGCTACAACGTTGCGCGAATTCATCAGACACGCCGCTTTTCAGCGGTCTTCGGGGCAAGGCGGGACATGAGGACAACGGCGCCGAACCGTGTCTGGCGTTTCCTGGAGAGCGGAACGCTTGTGAAGCTAGCAATGCGGAAAGAAGACGTTGTCTCACTTTGTCCCAGATACTTGGCACCTTTGTCCGTACTGATTGGGCAGCCTACGACTGTCAGTCTTAGTCTTTGCCACAACACGCTTATCACGCATCACGTCGGCGTTTGACGAGTAACTTTAGCCTCTACTGCGAAGCGGTGCTCTCCTGACGTTGCGCTACGGCTAGAGCGATCTGAGATTGAACACTTGCTCGCTGATGCGGAAAGACTTGCTGACACCAATGTCTTCACGTCAAATTGCCAGGCAAAAATGGGCGGGATCAGTATCACCGGCCGGAGGAGCTCAAACAGACGACGACAGGCCGAGGGGCGGAGAAGCGAGGACATTGTATAACGGTGCTGGATCGATCATCTCACCGTCTTTTCACCGACGTCTTTTGCACAAATCTGCTTTTTTTTTTTTTGGCATAAGCTCTGTGCAGTATACGTATCCGTCATCCTCTTTCTTTCTCCCCTGTTCGAACTTGGTGATGGTTTGCCGAAGTAGGTACTTCTCCCGGCGGCTCTCAAACGCCATACTGGATCAGGCTGCGCCTCGAGATGTCGATGTAATCTGCTCGTCAGACATCTACCCGTTGTTCCACTCTGACGATTCGACGAACCCTCCCCCGGAGATGATATTCGGCAAGGAAGACATACGGAGCACCATGTGGACTGGATGGGTTCCGAGTGTAACCACTTCTATTTTAGTGTCTCCTTGCAAGGAGGAAGAACCCGACGCTGTGGATGAAGTTCAAAGTATTCGCGGAGAGCGACCAACTGCGGAGCACGATCAATCGGCTCGCCATAGCTCAAGCTTCCGTAGGAAAGTTGGACAACAGATGCCCACCATACGGTACCGAGCCGGCATGGAAAGTTACCTTCTGGAACGTGGGAAACGAGGAAGGACGCAGTTGCCTAGTCTAGTATCGAAGACGCCGGCGGTTCGAAGGCGTGACGCCAGCAAACACCATGCAACATCCGCGCAGCACACAGAAATGCCAAGCGACTGAAATGGCGTGCAGGAAGACTTCCACAACGACTAGAGGAGTCATGGCCGTGCATGGCTCCAACATGCACATGGGAGATGAAGCTGTTGTTTTCCTCTTCCCTTTCACGATATGCACGAGAAAGGGGTTCGGTATCCCTCAAAACCTTGACTCCGGACAGCGGACACCGGAAGAGAGACATGACTACAAACGGCCTCTTGCGGTAACATCGCCGCAGAAACCCCCCAAGAATCGATTTTTTTTTTTTTTTGGTGGCTACGAGTACTCGAGTTTATTAAAGCGCAATGACGATATACGAGGCAGAGAGTGGCTTGGTTAATCAACAGATGGATAGTGGCATCCATGATCCAGATCCCGATCAACTTTTTTTCTCTGCTCCAAAGTCCAAGGTGGAAACAGCGGCAAGCGGGAGATTGGGATCAAAATCGGGCCCTGGCGGCCACGTGCGGTGCCGACAGTGACGACTGACGAGATGGATGAGGTGCCGGCCCTGCCCCTGCATTGTGGAGGGGGCCAAGGACAAGGAGTCTGCGAGGGCTCGCTTTTGTTCTTTCACAAGTTCACAACCAGGCATGGGATGATGGGAGCACGGGGAGAGCATGCCGGGTTTTTTCCTCCTTCGTTATGCGCACAAGCCGCAGGCCCATGCTTCTCATTAAACTCGACCAAGGGTCCTCGTCACGGCCGTAGTAAAAGGGACCCGTGGAGGACGCGTGCGACGCAGACAACACTTGCATTCGACTGGGCTGGTGCGTGCTCTAGTTTCCACACATTTTACGGACAGTGCCCCATCTCTGCGACGACACAATTTCCCTCTCGCTCGCTAAACTGAGCACAGCCTCACGACATGGCCAGCTCGAGTCAGGCCTTGTTCAGTCCGCTACCGAATACCGAGCCGGTGCAAACAATACGGATACTGCCGGACGACGTCTATCGTGTTGGAAGCTTTGGAACCTTTCTTTGAAGCTCTGGGGACTGGCGGATACCGGATGCTAAACGCGCAAAAACAGAGGCCGTCACCGGGAAGCAAACACCAGAAGCCCCCCCTTTTTGCTTTGGCAGCCGCGCGGTTTTGCCTGCCGGCCCGATGACCTGCATCCCGTGGGTCGGCGTTCGCTCACCAACTTACACTACTTGAATGCTCCAACGCCATTGAGAGCTGTCCCCGTCAAAAGACTTGTTACCCAGGGAGGCATGAGATGTATTCCGTATTTCAATCTCCTCATGAATTGTCTCGTGGTGACAGCTATACTCAAAATGAGATTGCGGTCATCCCTTCCGTTGTTCTGCTAGCGCGCCGCCTCAACGAGATGGAGATGTAGCTCAACCGAGCCGGCCCTCTGTGTACCTGCAGCATCGACGACAGTTCAAAAGTTAACATCATACTAAGCCTGGAGGCTGTCCACATCAGCCCTCCACCTGATGGTTTCGAGATTGACATTTTCGCGCGCGAAGCCTATGTTGGCTTAGCCTTTCCTGTTCCTGCATCCGCCCATACGAAAAGCTGGCGTCCGTTGTGGTACATGTCGGAATGACATCGTCGGACGCCTGCTTTTGGATGGCTGCGTTGTAAGCAAACAAACCCCGCCCTGGGTTCCTGTACCGGCGTGAATAGGCACGCTCGTCGTCTCTGCCTTTCCTAGACACTGATCGTACAGCTGTCTCGGCATCATCCTCCCGATTCTCTCTACAGCTGATCGTACCTGCAGCCACCGATAATCTTGCTTGTCCATGAGCAAACAAGGCATCACCACCTACAACTGTGCTATGTCAGGAAAAGGGAGGAATCCTTCCGCTGTTGTGCTTCCCCTCTTTCACCAAGTATTACGTCCCGAGGAGTATTGATAGTCGACCCTGTTCCACTCAGCGGGCTACACATGTTCACTGTCTGGAGCGACACACCCACAGTTCAAGCACGAAGATCTCTGAAGTTGCCTGCAAGATGCCGAATTCTATTTCGCCTCGCAGGCTTGTCTATAGTTGGTGCCCTAAGGAAGCAAAGCGCGCACGCACACAGCCTTCAAGCAGCCAGGTCTGTCAGCATGAAGCTCCGAAGCTGACAGGTGATATTTGTGCTTTCGGGACCTTGCAGCTCCGAATTACGAAGGTGGTCACAGACCGGTGTAGTTTGCCCGTGTATTAGACCGCAGCGGGTTTGTTCGTTATAGAAAGTTACGCCACATCCACGGTCTCGGGACCGCTCCGCTCAGCTCTGCAAAGACAGAGATAGGTCAACTAGAGACCAGTGTACCGGATGTGGTCGGCAAGCTCGCTCTCTCAGACTATCTCGTATACGGGCTCTTTTCGTGAAACGACCGCGGGCTTTTGCGGGTTGCTTTTTGCCTGTCCAGATGCGGTACATCGACCGGGCTGAGACCTCTTAACGTTGCTTTTTTTTTCTCTCCTGCTACTATAGTCTAAGGTCGCGAGATCGCTGTAATCACCCGTGATTGGGGAGAAGGACCCCCAAGGAACATAGGACAATGACGGGACGAGACGAGGACGTGTCTCGATGTGTGCTTGACCTTTCTTGTACCTTGAGCTGGATCACCACCGACGCAAGCTGCTTTGCGGAAGCCCCTCCAATACTCCCGCGTTTGTAGGCGAAACCAAAAAGAAGCGGCGGCTTGGCGAGTTGTAGGTAGTCATGGGCTCACCTGACTCGGCCGAAGGATGGTATTCTTGGATCCTGGGGTTGCACATGTCGAGTACACAACATACGGCGGGACTTTGTCTCCAAGGCTAAAGACATTGTCTTGGGCCCTTTGGAGTACCTCAATTCGGTTCGGCACACGCCCCTCTTCAGTGAAGATAGACGGATGATGATGTTTGTTTTGTTGTGGCACTAAGCTGCTTCCCCGGATCAAAATAAACATCACGGAACTCACGCGACACAACTTATTAGGGATCTTCAAGCTTGAGGAAATGGGGACTCCGTTTCGAGAACTATTTCTCATCTGAACCCAACAAGTGCTCCCTCGATGAGACGACGGCGGGGAAAGAAGATTACTTTGTGATTGCCCTTTCTCGCGCACTGGCCGGTTGAAAGGCTTTGCCGTCCATCATCTGTCCCCTTTACTCCCTTGTATGGGGCTCCAAGGACTTATTTGGCTCCAAGGGCCAAGGGAACGGTAAAAAGCGTACGATGTTGTCATACCAAAGTCTATACAGGCCAAGTCTATTTCTTGCTCTATCGATTCATTAGCAGAGCCTCCATTCCTCACGCCAGAGTAGTCAATCAGTCGTAGACAACTAACTACACTAAGGCTTCGAAACGAGGGCGTCGGTAAACTCCAGCGTGACGACACCGTCGCGACTCTCCACGACCTTTACAGAATCGAGGTCTCTGACGATCCAATCGGGTTCCGCGCCCACGACCTGCTCAACGGTGTGGCTCGTAACGAGGCCTAGCACTTTGCACCCAGCCTCCTTACCGGCCCTGATGCCGGCGGGGCTGTCCTCGAGGACGAGCACCTGCTTGGACGCGTCTTCTAGACCGAGCTTCGCGCGGCCGATGCGGTAACAGGTCGGGTCCGGCTTGCCGTTCTCGACGGACTCGGCGGTGACGAGGTGTTGAGGCTGCGGCAGCTTGAGCGCGTTGAGCCACCCGCCCACAAGGGGTTCCGTCCCCGAGGTGACGATGGCCCAGGGAGCCTGCTTCGCGATGAGGGCGTCGAGGAGTGCCCTTGCCCCAGGGATCTCGACGGCGTCTCCTCCGTAGAGTTTCGGGAGGCGGCCCTCCATCTCACGCGTGTCTGTTCATCTCGTGTCAGCCTTTTCTTCGCGAACCCCTGAGTTCATCACCATCTCCATCCCCCCCTTGCGTCATGTAGGTGAACATGCATGACAAAAGTTGGGGAAACCTGACAGACGGCGCGCCGGTGAGTCGTGTTTAGGTAGGTGAAGCAAGGCAAGGGGGGAACTTGAATCAGGAACAGGAACCAGAAACGCGAGATCAGACAAAACAGAGATCTGAGATTTTTTTGGTGTGGGTGTGTTCGTGTAGGTTAGGCACGGTACTCACACTCCCAATTTGCTTTTTCAGGGGCCAGAATCTTCAAGATGTCGATGCTACGACGGCCGTGCGAGGTCTCGAGGATGACTTCGGGCGCGACTCCTATTTCGTTGCCGACTCTGCAAGGGAGAGAAAGAAGGCCGGTGTTAGTGGGGTTTTCGAGAGATGAGATGAGAGAGAGAGAGAGTAACCCCTCATGCAAGGGACGAATGTTGATGATGATGCTGATGAACCGGTGGAGTTCGTTGGTTTCCTTACGTGTGCCAGTGCTTCACGACGGCTTCTGTTGAGTCGATGATGGTTCCGTCCATGTCGAAGAGGAAGCCATCAAAGGTGATGCGTTGTGGAGGGGCCGTGTACGACATGGTTGAGTCTGGTAGACAGGGTCAGCGGTTATCCCTCAGAAGTGAGTTATGAGTGTATACCTGAAGGGATAAATGATTTGTGTGATGGATCTATGTTTATAGCCTTTCGATGTGGTCTTAGATGGATAGTGAAGAGAAAGTTATTGTATTCAAGAGTCTAGTTGAGATTATGAGTTGAAGTTGAGTGAGATATGACTCTGAAAGGATCGTTGAAGTTCCGAGTCGGCAACGACAACCTTGGTAATCCGCCTTTTGCCAGCCCGCTATTTGAGCTGCGGCATCTTTCCAGCGGCCAAAAACACCGAGACGGGCATTTCTGTCCACCGGAAGGACCCCCTCTGACGCTGCGGCAGCGGCACCGCGGCAGCACCGAGCGTCTGTGGTCCACCGGTTCCAGCACGCCTTTTTTTTTTTTTCCCTCTTCCTCATCGACTGATCCTTCTTATGTCAGCCGTCGCGGGGCAAAGGTGACTATGGCGGGGCTCCTTCATTGGGATTAGCGTTAGGCGGTGAGGATATCTTGGTGGGGAGTGATAGCGATAGCAGGAGCGGTGTGGGCTGGCAAAACCCGACCTCCCACTAAATTTTTGAAAGTTGCACTGCAAGGACTGGGCGAAGCGCCAGGAAAGTTTTGCGGCGGCCGAGGGTAGCAAAGTACCAACCAAAAGCTCACCCCCATACAACAAAAATCTTGCCAAAAGTCACTTTGGTCAGATATCACGATGGCTGGCTCAATTAACAAACCCAAGAGTATGTGACTGTTGCATATGGACTGTTCAATGTCTTTTGTATTATTCTTTGACTAACAGCATCTTCGCAGAGCCAAAGTCCAAGAGGACGACGGTTCGCCTTCGCCACAAGATCGAGAAGAAGTCGGCGGCGAAGCAGAGGAAAGACAGAAAGAAGGCCAAGCAGAACCCGGAATGGCGCACCAAGCTCAAGAAGGACCCGGGTATCCCGAACCTGTTCCCCTACAAGGAGAAGATCCTCGAGGAGATTGAGGAGAACAAGCTGCGCAAGCAGGAGGAGAACCAGAAGCGTCGCGAAATGGCAAAGGCCGCCAAGACGGGCGCCACCGTCGCCGGTGCGACCGGCCAGCAGGTCGACGTGGCCGACGACGACATGATGGTCGAGGACGACGATGAGGAGGACGACGGCGACGACTCGAACCCCATGGCCGCCCTTCTGCGCAGCGCGAGGGCCGCCGCCGAGACGTACGAAAAGGAGTTGCGCGACGACGATGACGATGAGATGGACTCGGACGACGATTCAGGCGACGATTCTGATGCGCCCGCCGAGATCCCCGTCGGCAACGCCACCTCCCGCAAGGCCTTTGACAAGGTCTTCAAGAACGTCGTCGAGCAGGCCGACGTCATCCTCTACGTCCTCGACGCCCGCGACCCGGAATCCACCCGCTCCCGCGACGTCGAGCGCAGCGTCATGGCCGCCGCCAGCGGCGGCAAGCGCCTCATTCTCGTCGTCAATAAGATCGATCTCGTGCCCCCCAAGGTCCTCAAGGACTGGCTCGTCCACCTCCGCCGCTCCTTCCCGACCCTGCCCCTGCGCGCCTCCAACCCGGCGCCCAACGCCCACACCTTTAACCACAAGGAGCTCACCGTCCAAAAGACGTCGTCCGACCTCTTCCGCGCCCTCAAGTCCTACGCCGCCAGCAAGCAGCTCAAGCGCGCTGTCTCCGTCGGCGTCATCGGCTACCCCAACGTCGGCAAGTCATCCGTCATCAACGCTCTCCTCGGTCGTCTCTCCGGCGGCCGAGGCGCCTCAAAGGCCTGCCCCGCCGGCGCCGAGGCCGGCGTCACCACGAGCATCCGCGCGGTCAAGATCGACAGCAAGCTCACCCTCCTCGACTCTCCCGGTATCGTCTTCCCCTCCGCCAAGAACGCCTCCACATCGGGTCTTGTCTCCCTCAAGAACGCGACCGACGCCCACGCTCACCTTGTCCTCCTCAACGCCGTCCCGCCCAAGAACATCGAGGACCCCATCCCGGCCGTCACCCTCCTCCTGCGCCGCCTCGCCGCCTCCCCCGACCTGCTGCAGAAGCTGACCGACGCCTACGACCTGCCGACGCTGCTGCCCAGCCGCGCCGACGGCGACATCACGACCGATTTCCTGGTGCAGGTCGCGCGGAAGCGCGGTCGTCTGGGACGCGGCGGTATCCCCAACATCAACGCCGCCGCCATGACCGTCGTCACCGACTGGCGCGACGGCCGCATCCAGGGCTGGGTCGAGGCGCCTGTCCTTGCTGTCCAGAGCGATGCTAAGGGCGCCGCGCCTGCTGCCCCCGTCGCTGACGACGTTGCTGCCGCAGATCAGAAGACGATTGTCACGGAATGGGCCAAGGAGTTTGACCTCGGTGACTTGTTCAGTGGTCTTGCTGCTGCTGGCGATGAGGACGAGGCGATGGAGCAATAAGGGGTGGTATAGTAATGGAGAGAACATAGTGAGAGGAGAGGGGAGAAGTACATGATATCAAAAGAGAAAGTGGAGAGATGTTGTGGTCCCATTTCTTGGGTTTTAACTCCCTCATGAAGAGCTTGGCTGGCTGTTAGATTCCTCGTTTCATATCACATGGCGTTTTTGGGGGCGGTTCAAGGGAAAAATAAAAAGCAAAGAATGACGGTTTAGCCCGTTGTCCTCGTTCAAATCTGCACATACACCTTCATCCGGAATGTCCCTTGCTTTCATTTAATCTGGTCCTTATGGGATCCTAAATGATCTTGTCATCTCGAGCGACCTCCTGCTTTTCATCCGTCCAACGTCATCTAAAGGCATGTATTCAGATGGGGACCCACAGGAGGACCATGATGCAATACCGAAACACAGCTCAGTAGTTGAGACGTTTGTGCCTGGTGATTGACTGCTGAACATCGTAGCCATATCAATGCCAAGTTCCGCGGTATCAGTTGAAGATCACGCGGATTATAACACGGTTGTGTCTTTTGAAAGCCCTGTAAGCTGAGCTAGGCGGGCCCGCAGACCAAAGGGGTTCCATCTGAGCCCAAGGGAAGTCGACTTTTTCAACCTGATCTAAAGTATCCCAGTAGCCTAGTTATCAGTAAGGGCTTTCTTTATTGATCAACCGGCTGAACGGATGATTTGATCACTAACCAGGGTAGAACCACAGTAGCCTCAAAATCTGGAAATGCACTCAAGCCCTTCCGATTTTGGTGTTCTTTTGCTGAATACAACACTTGAAGACTGAGGTCATGTAAGATCGTACCACGGTTTCAAGTTCACCGGCCATCATGTCTGGCTTCTTTCCAGCTAACTTTTGAAGAACCATGCACTCCACAGAGGGATTCGGGCTGTAGTTCTCAGGAATTTTCTTCAGGAGGGTCTGTAACTTTGTCACCGGCCGTCCACCATTCATCCACGCTCTGAATACACTCTTCAGGTGATCCCGTGTGAGAACAAGCGATGAATTCTGCGGCGCAACTGGCTTCGGGGTGGCGACGACTTTGGAGGTCTGCTGAGACTGGTGCGTAACCGCAGGTGTCGATGGTCCCTTAAGGGCAGATGCTTCTACCTCTGTGGCAGTAGACTTCACTGACCCCTCATTCGTCGACGCGACTGAATCTGGGTCTGTCCGGTTCTCAGACACCGTAGCTGCCGCAGCTACTGACTCCACTGCCTGGGTTGTCGTAGGCGCCTTTGACTGCAGTGCCGCCTCGCCTGTGCCAGGTTGGAGGCTCACAATGCCCGTGGTGATGGAATTCTCGCTGTAGTCGAGAATTCTATCAATCATAGCATGAACTTGCTGGCGAGATCCATGAAAAGCGAAAGTCTCATCCAAAAGGTGGTCGATCACGGGCTTGCCAAGGCGTCTTGTGTTGCTGATATTGACGGTGATGTCTCCAGATTCGTCAGTATCCAAGGTGACGTCGAGGCGTCCGAAGACGGGCTTATTCTTATCGGCGGCGGATGACGAAAGTTTGACTCGCTCGGCTGGTGGTTGAGAGGACGCCTCCGCGGCAGATACGTCGTCACTTTCCATCTTAAGTCACTCAACGGATGAAGTGTCAGTAAGTCAGACGACAGAAGGTGCACTTTGGAAGGGCAAACCTGGGAAGGAGATTGACTTTGGATAGTTGCGTAATCTGGAAGTTGATTTGGGTGGGTTGTGGAGAAGAAGGTGGCGAAGGTAAATGCCGAATATTATAGGAAGGGACGGCCGAGGCGCTTCCTTCTCCTCCAGGAATACATTCACTGAGTGGTGTGGGACACTCGCCCGGGAGAAGGCATGTCTCAGACCAGTGGGCGATAAAACAATGCTACCTTCAGTATACATTATAATTTTCTCTTTCATTGCCATCATGCCATAGATATTCTACGATGAATATGCTCCAAGGACGGCTGGCTAACATCAATCATAATACTGATCAGAGCGGTGATGGCAGTGCGAATAATAAGATTGACAAAGCTCTTATCACTTTGGACACTACTTTCCAGACTATGTTTGTGCGGATTTGAAAAGCTAGAAGTTCTCCATTCAGTTATGTCACTCGAAAAAGGAAAAGATGTATGATATGGTCGTTGTTTTCACACACTCGCTTTGTTATGTCAACTAGATAGATGACGGGACTGTTGCCCAAGGTGCTCTCGTCTCGTACGAAACTTTAGGCTGCTCCATATACTGGACCATCCTATTGAGTTCGGTTGAATCGAATACTGGTTCTTCGTCAAGGCTACTCCATTCATATCAAGGATCTTGCAATATTCTTTTCAGATCAGTCCAATGGTAGGCTGATATAGCTGCACATTCCCACCTATTCCCAAATCCGAATCGCGCATATAGCTGCCTTCGTAAGTAATAAGAAATCCGCTTTCATTCGCACGCGAAGTCATGCCGGAGGCAATCGTTGAGACCATGTTCATGATCTGGGCAGGTGCGGCCAGGTAAGTAGGTAGGTGCCTTCTGCATCGCCTGCCTCTCATATCAAACGCCCGTTCCCGAAACCAGTGAAGTATGCTCGGTGGTGAATTGAAACCCACTCGTAGTACGTACCCACGTGACGTGTAGATGCCAGAGGTCGGTGAGGTTGTCCCTGTTTTCCTCCTTCCTGCAAATGCCCCTCCTTACACTTCACTTCTCCTTCACCTCAAAACGTCACGTCATTTCTCATTCACAAAACGACAGCACACTGATCAAGCAGTTCAAACCGCTACCTATAAAGAGGTAAAGGTTTTTATCTAAGTTCTCGCCAGAAGCTCTCTTGCCCAACACGCTTTGCATGTCCTACCTATCGCAGCGGCATACTTTCAAAGTATTATCCCTGCCACGACCAAGTCAGAACAATCTCTCGAGATGAAGAGATCCAGACCCCCCATTTCAAGCCCTGATGCTTTGAACTATGGGCCTGACGACGGTCAACGATCCAGAACGGAGGAGGGAAGAGACAGCAACCTGGTCAAGAGACTCAAGACGACCGATGTTCCACATGGCACTATGTCGATACACCCACACGACATTAGATCGTCACAGAGTCTGGTAACAGAATCCAAAACGCTTCGGAGCGAATCGGTGCAAATGAACGACAAAGAGCGCAGTGTGGAGATCCAGAAACTGAAGGACAAGCTGTCGATGCTAGAGGGGTCTTCTAATCGAGAATGTCAGGGCACGCCACACTCGCCTGTGCGACCCAACCTCAAAGACTCCAAGTCGGGACCCTACTATGATCCTCAGAAGCTCGAGAATCAGCATGGAATGTACCCTGATGGTGACGAGCAACTCGTCAGGCCTCCCTCCAGATATGGAAGCAGCTCCATCGATCGCGGTAGTTGGAACGAAAACCGCCCCGATCACACCAGCTCCTTTGACCGTGACCATCGCGACGACACACATAGAGATACACAGCGATTCGTTGCTGCCCAGTCGAGTATCCAGAGGGGGGGATATCACCAAGGCTCCTCTACGAGATCATTCCAAGGCACCTCCAGTAGTAGATACAACGCCAATCGCGCGCACCATACACAGCAAAGGCCACACGACAGGACCTCCCAAGATGAAGCGAGATCGGCGCCGCCTCACGCTCCCGTGGCTCCCGCAGCGAACTCGAAAGCCTCCCAGTACCTGAGCAGTGGTGGCCAGAAGCGAAACAAGGTCTACCACGACACCGACACCCGCCGTCACAAGCCGCCCTTCCATGGCAAAGTGAAGATGACAAGCGAGGAATGGAGCCAGAACGAAATTACTACCTCGCAATTCCTGTACGGCGACCGCTTTAACCCGAATAACATCTGCTCCAACTGTGGACACGCCGGACACTGGCTCGGCGACTGCGTCTTTCCGGACGACAACGGCACCATCATGGGATGTCCGATCCATAACACAAAGCTTCACGTCCTCGACGACTGCCCGGACCTGCCGCATATGAGCTTGCAGCAGCGCGTGACAACCATCGTCGTGCGTAGGCGAAACAAGCCCGCGATCCGGTCGAGGAAGCCGTGGATCGAGCTCGTCAAGGAAGCCATGGGCCAGGGCCTGGAAGAGTTGGTCTGGGCACCCTCGGTATGGACGCAGGAATTTGTGTTGCGCATGATTCACGACCGCAAAAGCCTTCAGCCGTGGCTCGACTTTGATTACGGACGGGACCTCGTGTCCAAGTTGCCTGTCGATCCGGAGACGCAGGGAGATCTCAGGTCTTTGCTCCGGAAGTGTTCTTTGTGGGAGCAGGTTCATAGGCCGGTCCGTCAGGCTCGCTGAGCATGCTATTCGTTTTTCGGGAGGTTCGGGTATGGTGTGTTTATATCTGTGGTCGGATGTGTAGTATACGAGGTCAAGGGCGGAGATGGACACGGGCTGAGTTTTATGATGAATGATATGCGCCTCTATAGGCTGTATACGATACTCTAGATAGACAAACATGGTCTGATACTATCTTGGTGCGGTGTCGTGCCGAGTGACATAATTTGTGATATCAAAAGGTCCTTCCTCAGAGACGTAGGTTCGAGGCATGAAAACAACGCATGAAAACAACGCAAAGACTGGTTCTATTCCCATTTCACATACCAGACAGTTCAGGACGAGACTAGACATAAATAAACGCGTTCATTTCTAGAACTTTTAAGTTGGCCAAGTCTCTTGCCATCTTCTACTTCAACGTCTCAAAACACCCAAGAATTCCGTATTTTTATTCCCATTCCCACATCTTAGAGCCCCCTCAAACGCTAACAAGCTCCATCTTGACACCTCTCTTGCCCGTCATCTCGTCCTTCTCATCCGTAACCTTGACCTTGACCTTTTGGAACAGCTCCACCCGCAGCTCCTTGCTCCCGCTCGTGGTAAGGACGTAATTCTCCGCGTCAAAGGTACTCTCAGGCTCGGGCTCCGCGAGGTCCCGCAGCCGGATCAGGCCCTCGATACCGAAGCGCGGGACCAACACGACGAAGCCGTTGCTGAAGATCTTCATGACAAAGGCCTCCTCCTCGGCGACGCGGCCCTTGAGGGCCTGGCCGACGTAGTAGGCGATGCTGGCGCGGCCGGCGAGCTGGGCGTTGCGGTGGCGGACGTTGATGTTCTTGCACACGGCCTCGAGGCGGCCGCGGCTGCGGACGGCCGGGTGGATGGCCTCGTAGCCGATGGCGGCGGCGAGCTGGCGATGGGCGACGAGGTCGGCGTACCGGCGGATGGGGGAGGTGAAGTGCGTGTAGATTTCCGAGGCGAGGCCGTAGTGGCGGAATTCCGGGTAGGCCTGTGTTCCGGAGCAAAAGTACTCGGCTGACATCATGCAGCGGGTGGCCATGATGCGGACCAAGGTGTTGAAGAAGGGGTCGACGGGGTCGACGCAGGTGTCGAGCGAGTCGGCGAGCGCCTTGCTCGAGTCCACGCGGAGCTCGAGGCCCTTTTTGACGCGCAGCTGGTTCGAGAGTTCGTCAAAATTTGTCTTTGGCGGGGCGCCGTGACGGCGGAGGATGGCGGTCTGGGGGAAGGCCTCGTAGATCTTTGCGGCGACGCTGACGTTGGCGAGCAGCATGAACTCCTCGACGAGGGACATTGTGTCGAGGTGCTGCTTCGTCTTGACGTCAATGGGGTCCGACGTCTCCGACTCCATCTGCACCTTGACCTCGGGGGAGGACAGGCTGAGGGCGCCGGCGTCCATGCGCTTCTGCTTCAGCTTTTTGGACAGCATCATGAGCGTTCTGATGCTGTTGGTGAGGTCGTCCTGCTGAGAGGCGTCATCGACGCGGAGCTGAGCCGCCTCGTAGCTGAATGCCTCCTTGGACTGGATGACTGACTTGGTGAAGCGGGCGCCGACGACGTCCGCGTTGGCGTTCATCTCCCAGATACAGGAGAAGGCGTAACGTTCGACATAGGGCTTCAGCGAGCACAGGTCGGTACCGAGAAGCATCGGCAACATGTCGATTCTCTTATCGACCAGGTACACGGTGGTGCCTCGCAAGCTGGCCTCCGTGTCCATGGCGTTGGCGGGCTTGACAAAGTGGGAGACGTCGGCAATGTGGACGCCAACCTCAAAGTTTCCGTTGGGGAGAGGCCTTGCGTGGAGAGCGTCGTCGATATCCTGGCAGCCGATGGGGTCGATACTGCAGATGAGGAGCTTACGGAGATCCTCTCTGTCCCTCCAGCCAGGATCTTCTAGGCTCTGTGGTACTCTCCAGTCGTGGCCCTCTTTTGGCAGACAGTCGAGTACCGTCTTGGGGAAGGGACGGTACTGCACGTCGTACTCCAGCAGCAGCGCCTCCGTCTCGGCAGCCTTGGTCTCGAGGTCACCAAGCGAGCGCACAAAGTGGCCTACGGGGTGCCGGGAATCGCGGTCCCAGGCGTCAATCGTGACCAACAAACGCTTTCCGAGAAGCTCGGAAACCTGTCTCGAGCGCAGCTTGATCTTGGGAATGCGCTTATCCATGGGGATGAGAAAAACGTTGTCCGACTTGCGGCCCTGGCCGCCGCTCTTGCTCGCAGAGGAAGGGTCGATGTGCCCGACGTACTGCCGCCAGTTGCGCTTGATGACGCCGACGACCTTTGCCGTCGGTTGCGGCCGGCCCTCGGTGCTGTTCTTGTGCGTCTTCTTCACCTCCTCCTGCAGCGCCTTGCGCTCCTTTTCCGAGACAAAGTCCTGCGCTTCCTCCCCGTCGGCGTTCTCGTCGCGCGTGACCGCTTCTTCCTCGATGATCTTGGTTGACGGCTCCTTCCACTGGTCCTTTGGCAGAACCTCAACCACAACAACGTCGCCGCTGACGGCCCGGTTGATGTTCTCTCTGCCAAGGACGATGAGAGGCTTGGGAAATGCGGGCACGTGAATGGAACCCTCCAGGTAGTTGTACGGCGAGACATTGAAGATGCCCTGGTGAAGAAGGCCGGCCTTGACGCCGGTCATCAACTTCGACATGGTGAAGTATTCCGGGTAGAGTGGACCGGCAGGCTTCTTGGAAAAGCTCGAGTTCCGCGACTCGGCAATCATGTCCAGCAGCCTCTCGCCATCCTCGAGACCGCCGACATACTCGGAAAGAGACATGGCCGTGACGCCTTCGGTCTTGGCCTTCCTCAGGCAGTCCTGATCGTCGCTGAGCATCACGACGGCGGGTACCGTCTTGGCCTTTGTCTGCGCCAGGTGGTCGGCGTACCACTTGACCGCCTTGCGCACGGCGCGGTCGTTGCGGTCGTTGACCGTCTCATTGGACTCGCGGTTGACGTACGTCTCGAGGCGGAAGTCGTTGAAGAAGACGTAGAAGCGCTTGTCCTCGCTCTTTGTAAGGCCGACGAGGCGGTTGTACAGGGGCAGCGAGCGGTTGCGCAGCTCCTCGAGTACTGTCTGCAGAATGACAACGTCGTAGAAAGCCGAGCTCTGCTCAAAGAGGTCCATGGCGTTCAGCAACGCGTTGGTGTCGGGGACGATATAGTGCCCCTGGGGGAACGCCTTTGTCCCCGCCGGCTTGTCAGAGAGGATGAACGGTTGAACTGGGAGGCGTTGTTTAGCTGTCATATTCGTGCGGTAAATTGAGAATGGGATAAACTCACCATTATTGGCTGCGTCTCTGGGCGCCGTCCGCAAACAATCCCGGCACAGCTTTGACGAGCAGGGGATGTCTTGACGCAGGTAAACCTCCCTCACAATCTTCTGAACCTTGCCCTTTCTCGTCGAGCGGACGTAGACCTTGCTCGAGATATTGGCGGCGAAAGGGTCCGTCTCGAACGAACGCTTAAGGCTCGTCATGTTTTCTGACTTGCCGATTTCTCAGTCGCCTTGTGATTGAAGAAATGAGATGGCGACGATGGCGGTGAGTTTTCTTTGAATTTATTATTATTTCGCCGCCCCTTCACACTGGGCACTCTTTGATAATGAAAATTGAAGTGAGGTGAGGCGCGGTCACCGTGGGGCGGCTGACAAACGAATCAGGAAGCCTGTGGCGCTTGAACGGTTACTTATCGAGAACGTCCCGATGGGTTATCTCTTATCGATAATACATTAACCAGCGTCATCGCATCACGTCCCGTCACCACCTCACCAAGCGTGACACCTCAGTTTTGGTGTACCCAAGGTACGTACCGCAGAGTTTCGGTTCCGAACGACGCATCATGCCGTGCACCCTAAGATCAATATCGTGGTCCGCACCTCTCGACAGCAGCTGGACGCGACAGGCTTGCTAACCTGTGTTGTCACCACTCATCTAAGAAGGGCTGTCTTGTCCTCGCCGATAGCCTCATCGGGAAGTAAAATCTTTGTGCTAGTCGACAAGAGACTCGGATGGCGCTGGCCCGAGGAGAGTCAGAGTCATCAAGGGAATCTCGTATATGGGCACTCTTCAAGTGTTCAATGGCTTGTCACGGTGACTCACCATGGCGCGCCGCGCTCTTCATTCTGTCGACGGATGGGTATTATGGAGAGACACGATAAGCCGATCAGCCGAATGTCTCGTACTCAAGCATCACTGTACTTGGAGATGCCCACGAGAAGCGCGTAGAGTTAAGATTCAGCCGCCGACTACCTAGATAAGAAAGCAAGCCCGCTGGTTCCAAAAGCTACCCGACTCCCCCGTGTGCTCCTCTGTCGTCGTCGGTGTTGCCTATTGTCTTCCCCGACGAGCATGGTCGCACGGTGTCGTTCCCGAGTCTCTGTCTCTTTACGTTGCGCGTCCCCGGTTCCGCTCACGAGCGCACGGCGGGCGCCACGGCGGGAAGAAGGAGGAAAAAATAAAATAAAAGCAAAAATTAATAAGATAAAGCTTGTGTGACTTTGACCCTTTTCTCGCTGGTTGCGCAGAGGGGAGGATGAGGGGGAGGGAGAGCAGATTAAGAAGCTACGATACCCAAAATTAAGAAAGACGAAGGAAGCGATGAATGGGACTACTTCGTCCCAACAATCGGGAAACAAACCAGCCTGTTTCGCAGACACGCCCCTTGTGCTTGGTCTTTTGTGTTTGTGTGTTGTAAGTATATTGATATATGTGTGTGTGTGTGTGTGTGTGCGTGTGTGTGTGTGTGCCTGGAGAGTGTATCCCGCCTCAAACTTGACGTCCCCCTTCTCCCACAAGACCCTCGAAAAAGAGATCCAACTCGTGGGAGGGGTGTGTGTATGTGTGCCGACGGGAATAAAATCCGTAACAGAAAACCACTTAATCGAGGGATCAGAGCGGCGCGAAAACTGGGATTCTAAAAGCTTTTGCTTACTGATATTCCGCGTTTGGTTATCAATCATCAAGTGGGCTTACCTTACTTCGGCCATGATATGATTGATCTACGGAAAGGAAATCACGAAAGAAAAAAGGGAAGGTCTACGGTGACAGGGACTCTGACCGGCCTCTGGCCGCTTTTGCCACGCCATGTCAGGTCAGGTTGCCCTGCTTGGATCGGCCGCCCCGGTTCCGTGGCCTAGGCGGCCAAGGGGCTTGCACGCACGCACGTATCACTCGCGAGGCCACGGCGGGAACGGCCCTCATGTCAGCGTTGCATCCTGCTGGAAACCGTCGTCCCCTTCCCTCGATCTTACGGGAGAGAATCATGAAGGGAGGGGGGGGATGGGGGCGGCATGGCATAGCATGGGCCAGGCTGGCTTCTGCAGGCGTCCGAGAACTCTTGGCCAGGCGCGGGAACGCACCAGGATGTGAGTGAGAAAACGGTTTTGCTTGACCAGCAGGAACTAGAGATGAGACGTCGGCTGCAGAAGGCTGGGCCGTTCACCTCTCTGTCCATTGTTCTTTCATCTTCCATCGGCCCAAAAGGAATCAATCGTTGGAGCCAGACCAATTGAGGACGAAACCCAATCTGGCTTTATCGAGTCTGTAGCGGCTCGGCCATGAGAGTTTTCCCCAAGTCATGACAAGAGAGAAACATCGTTTCGGCCGGGAGGCCGGGATTATGGCACTCGGGGCTTCTTCCTGCATCGCAGTGCATCGCAGATGGTAAAGAGTTCGAAAACGTGGGCTTTGTGGGACCCTGAAAAACCTTGGTCCAAGCAGTTCATTCTTCTGTAGTGCCTGAGTGTGCCTCCAGACTCTTTTGCTGGGCATCAGTCCGAGTTGAGGTTGACATCCAAGGAGGCTCGAGCACACCAAGGGCCACGCCCCGTCGCATTCGCAGCGTACGAGTCAGGCGCATGAAAGCAAGAGCAAACAACATCCTTAGGTTCGGCTCGTCGTCTGAATAAGCTATGAGCAAGAGTCGTAAAATAAGGAAGCTGAGAAAGGCGAGACAGAATAGGAACGGGGCATAAGTCCACGACACACACACATCTGTGCGGATGCGGGAGCTAAAAAAACGACTGTCACGGGCTGGGCCAAACCTGTTTTACAAATGTGTTAATCGTCTCCATCGGGAATCGTTGAAAGAAACATATTGCGCCACGGAGTGGCCAAGGTGAAGCGTACGGCGGCCATTGGCGGTTCTCGCGTGGCTGGACACGACGTCTATCAAGGTCCATCGCTGTCAGTCCTGGTCCTTGTGGTATTCCGTCGGCCGGAAGACAGTGTAAGGTATTGCGTAGGTAGGTAGGCAGGTAGTCAGTTACACTGGCCATGACAACCGAGAGAAGCGACGTGATGTTAAGTGCCGATGATACCGCTGTGTCGATTGCACCCCGAATTGTCCTTCCGACTGGTACGGTTACCATGTATCTGTGAGACTTGATCAACGCCGCCGAGGCTGTCTGTCCCAAGAAGCCGGCCACTGGCTGGCAGAGTGGCACACCAGTCGGCGTCGGGGCCCGGTTGGAGGGTCCCACGATGATCGATCCAACAAACCACGGACGCCGGCGGGGGTTAGGTTACGTTACGCATGGCCGCCCGTAAGACCAGGCAACGTATGAAGAAGGAAACATTGGGGACCGTTTCGGCATCTGACGGTTGTAGCAAAAGGTAGATGGGGGCTCTTCGGAAGGGAAGAGAGACTTGGCTGTGGATGAATGACGATGTGTTTTGGACGTATTTGAAGGAAGGGTAACATCGTCTTGGTTGCCCCTCTTCTCCCCCAGGCCTGCTAGAGCATGAATCAGAGATGGGCCAGATGAAGAAGAAGAAAAAAGAAAGAAAGCAAACCACCAACGATGAAGGCATGCATATATCCCGTCCCTCCACCAGAGAACTTAGAAAGGGTAGGGCAGGCCGCAGAGTAGCCAACCTAAGCGTACATGAGAAGCTGTGAACCATTGCCCATGAACAATAAACGGGGATTAGCAATAGAGAGGGGCAGAGGTATAGCTATTATGACTTACATATGTAAGTATGTTGAGCTGGGGGTGTGATGGTTCATGGTGGTGTAAGTGGTGGTGTGGTGTGGTGGTGAAGGGACGGGTGGTGGTCGTGTCTCCACAGCGGCTAGACACCCGCAGATGTACATTAGCTACTGATGCTGGTGATGACTGGTTGTGCTGGCTGTTGCTGCAAACAGGAAGCGATTGAGATCGGAATTGACCATGCCTGAATGGGTTCCCACAAAGGAAAAGGCGATGGGCGAGATCATCTCCATACCTGGTGTAGATGCTCTTCTGCAGTTGGAGGGAACCTGGGGAAGGGGAAGGTGGTGGGCAGGCAAGGCAAGGCCAGGCAGGGCAGGGTAGGGCAGGTCGAAGACAGGGAGGGGAGGGTACCTACCTATGGTGGAGGCAGGGAGCGTGAGAGCGTGATGATGGGAGGAGGAGGAGGAGGAGGAGGAGGAGGAAGAGGTTCAGGGGGTGTGAGAAGTTCGAATTGGGGGGGGGGGGGACAGAGGGCCGGCCCCCCTCCCTTTCAACTGGAACTGGCAGCTGGGTTTTGATGGGGGAAGAGGGATGGGTGATAGTATGTGAGTACCTAGTGAAGGGGATGGAGAGCAGAACCGGAAGGATGGAATGGGGGAATGGAATGGAATGGATGAGCGTTCGCTGCTGCACGAGCGGGTAGCCAGGGTCCAAAGCGTAAGGTAGCTCCCGCACTGCAAAAAGAAAACACAGCGGGCCATGTCCACCTGCCAGACCTTGTAACTAGGGTTTCCTACGGAGTACTTGTAGTGTCACTGTCCCGGTCTCCGTACTCACCTCCCCGTGTAAGTCGTTCCCGCCCCCGTCCATCCAGTTTCCTCCCGTTAGCAACGGCCCCCAGTCACCTTCCCCGGTCTCATTCATCCATCAACAGTAGTGTAACAAGAACCAATAGCTACTGTTATCATCATGGCTTCTCAACATTCTTTTTAGACCAATAGTCTATAGTTCATAGACAGGTCGAGGCTCGCTTCTCAGCTAGCCCTCTAATCATCCACCTAGACTCCACCTAGATACCAGTGTTGTTAACCCTAGCCAGGAAGCAGTAGAGGATAACCTGAAGGTAGAAGTGAACAGCACCATCGCATTCACTACTGGCTAAACAGGAGCTCACGGAAACATACTAACGCTACCGAGACAACACTACCTCGTACAAGGAAATAGCTTACATACAGATAGCAATGGGCACCGGTTGGCGTCCGCCCACAGCTTAACAGGCGGCAAGCCTCAACGTTGATGAAAGCACCTACCTGACATCCCCTGCCGGCCTCTTTTGCTTCAGCCCTCCCACTTGTCTTCTACCCCAGACCATTGGGTGCCGCTGCGCCGGCATTCACTCTTTTGACAGCCACCCACCACAGCAAGCAGTGGGCATGCACTCGACACTCACACCACCCATCCCGTGTAGGAACATGGCCATCCGTTCCCGAGGTGAGGCCCAGACGCAAGGGCCAGAGCCGCTGTTGAGGTCAGCAGAGAGAAGAAAGCCAAGGACAACTCAAGACAGCTCAAGACGTGTGACTACCATCACCTATCCGCACTCCCCATGGCAACATCCTCTGCCTCCGCGGCCTATGTCTCCCCGTATTGTGTCCTCAAACATCGTTGGAAGAGGTTGTCCTGCCGAGGCTGATGCAGCAGAAGCAGCAGCAGCTTCTCTGCACCATCATTCATCCATCCATCCATCCACCCATCCATATCCACTACCGGCAGCTTGCTGTGGACCACGATAACAACCTCTCGGTTGTTGCCGTGCATTTGGACTGGCACGGCTCGTTCGGGGAGAATGAAATGGTTGGAGGTGTGGAAACTCGCCCACCCGTAGCCACAACCCTCCCTCTTCGTCCGTTGTTTCCATTCTTTAAACCCTTTGATCTTCTTCCACTCTTGCAGCAGTATTGCAGGCACTGCTGCTTCCCAGCTTGCATCAAGTCATCCCAAAAGGACGGAAAGGGAGCAGCACCTCTGGTGCTGGTGTACACCACCGCGCCGGTCATCCCCTCCATCACCATCAACCCCTGGTAGACTGTCCACAAGGCCATGCCCTGCTCATGCTATGCGAAAGGAAACAGATATCCATCATGAGGGTGGGGCTCTTTTGAACCCATGATTTCTTGCTTGGCTTGTGCGTCCGTCATGAACGTGACCTGTTGATCCAATCGCATACGGGGATTCGGGGCGAACCAACAGCTAAGGCGTTTCTAGGCCATCCTTTCGTCGATGGCTCTCCCCTCCCTCTTCGCAATCGCTGCCGCTCATGCCCTGCCCTATGCCTGCTCACTCCTTGTCCGAGACTACAGGGGCCAATCCCTACTGTGCAGTAGTTGTACTGTATAGCTAAGCTCAACTCTTCACACCACCTTTCTCCGAGGCAGAAGATTCCCACGTACAGTCTGTCCCCTCCTCCCGAACAAGCATGTCTGATCCCGTCACTCTTGATCTTTTGATTTGTCCAACTTTGTTGTGCTGCTGGGGCGCTGTCCAGGTGTTGAGTCATCTGGTTCGCAGTAGCGTCAGCATATGTTACGGTAGTCCCTCGCTCCTTATCTGATCGAGAACCAGTCTCAGCCGTCGCCGAGGAGGACGCGTTGTAGAGGCGCGACACTCTGACGCGAGGTAACGACGAGCAAGAGCCTGGCCATCATGACCACTTGCGAAACAAGCGGGGAAATCTGACCGAAGCCACGCGGGACCTCGACGGTTAGCCGGTCTTTTGCTTCCATTATGTCCGAGGCATCTCCGCCCTGTGGAAGTCGTCTCGGCGGAATCCTTCCTCGTTCTCGATTTCAATATGCACACATCCCAGCTTTGAGCCACCTCGGCTGAAACGCATCCACTCGTCGACAATTCTTGTTTGTCGACCTCGAGGCTCGACCAAGGTCGCTGCAGAGACACGAGTAAGTGGAAGCTTCTTCACGACTAATAAAAACGCTCTTTTTGCGTCTTGCCTTCGAAGTTTGTCGTTGGGCAGAGGCAGAGACGAAGCTAGTGAAGCACCGTCTCCGCGCAAGTGCCATTTTGCGGTCTCGATAGCGATGGCGTCGTTGCTTTCCTTGACCGCTCTCTTCTCGTTTGTAAAAGTCCATTTCCATCGCCGCCTTTACGATGATGGGTTGCCAGTTGGTATCGAGTTTCAGCTGTGGCGCATACTGATATGTGTACCAGGCTAGGGTCACAGGCCAGGAGCCAATGAGTGACGACGTTTGTCGATGTCTGAACGTCCGTGATGCCCGTCAGCGATGGAGACCCATGCATCACTTCGAAGCATCTTTGAGCTGCCAGTCGCATGCTCCGCTGTCGCCTGATGAGGGACGATGCAAGTCGAGAGGCTTTTGTAGCCAATGCAAGATGTCCTTCTGCTCTGCCGTCCTTTCTTCTTGCACAACGGCTGTCCGAGCATATCATCTCCAAGTCTCGGATCCGCGCAATTCCTCCGCAATGGCCATTGCGATTTGGACCGTCGGCAATCGCATGTACATATGTGACTTCCCAGAGCCAGATTCGTGATACCATGCTCACCTATTCGTACGCGGCCCCATGGTTGGTACTAGCTGCTTTCTCGTCTGCATAATTGTCGCCTGTGTGCTGAAACCTATCTGCTCCCTACGAGACAGAATGACAGGTAGTAAAGCCCAATGATTTGGACGAGAGAACCGCAGAGGGGAAGTGTCCAAAACCGCATTTCCTGTGTGAATGAGACCCCAGTCAAGCTCGAGCAAATCAGCACAGCCTGCTTGCTTGACTTGGCTGCAGTGTCTTGCATCGCCCTTGTCCTACCTAACCCTTTCGGTCAGCTAATCGCCGACGGTACCATCTCACATCTCCCAACCCGCGACGACTTTGTTGAAGACTGACTGTTCATGTGATGGGTACACCGTCATGACCGTACTGTTTGTGTCGGTCCGGGTTTAGTTCAAACCCCTTGCTAGATGGACAGGACGTCTTAGCTCGACGAACACATTTGGCAGTCATTTCGTCCGCAATGCTTCCCCAGTGTCGAGATGATGACGAAATGTCTCTTGTCTAGCCAACTTAGGCGGCACTGGCCGCGCCTCTAAACGTGGCGCGTGATGTGATAAACGGGTCCATTATTGCTCATGTTATCAAAATAATTGCTAGCGGCTGGCATGCAGCATTTTACCAGGAAGCTCTAGACGAGAGGAAGCCGCGGGTAATGGAGGATAATAGGAGCTGCGGGCTGACCTCATCTGTGTCAGAGCCGTGTGCGACGACGGCAACGTTGGCCTCCTCAAGTCCAGCGTCTACCTTAATGAAGGCGCCGTGTTGGAACATTGCCGTTAAGTTACGATTCGTACGCCGAAGTAGCTGCTGCAGTATCGCAATTTTTCTTTCTGTCGGGTCCTTGAATCCCTCTTCTACAGATCCGTGGTGACCCATTCACGCCCCTCGTAAGGTATCAATGTGCAGAGTGAGGTTTGAGTCTAAATTGGTACCTCTTCGTCCGTGGCGATCAAGAGACAAAAGACACGAGTCGAGACCAGGGCCGCATGTCATCTTTGCTCGTGTAAGAATGCGCGGAGACGAGGCCGTCGTTTTGGAGAAGTCAGACGCCCCGCGAAAGGCACGACGTTCGGCTAGTAGGAGCATCTTGGCGGAGACAACCCTTGATCCCATCCGTTTCGCCCGCCTTCAACCGTATTGTGGACAGGGGTCGATGTCGATAGCGTGTGCGCCATTGCTGGGGTCCTAGTCGATGGTAAGTCAGAATGGCACGTAGACTGGAGCGATTGGCTGAACAGATTCATGGCTACAAGAACGGTGTCTGTGCGAGAAAAGAGGGCGGCGACGGGACTTGTCCATTGAGCGAGTCAGTGTCGGGAATATTGCCGCCTCTACTCTGGAACTACTTTGTGCCCGACGGTCGACCTCACTCGACTGGCCGTCTGGCGTGTGTTCCGTATGGAGGACGGATACCGGATATCGAGATGCAGCGAAATGGTACTACCTTGCCTCAAGAGTCGTTGCCATAGCTGGAGAAATCATTAC